ATTGCTTGGATTTAATCACACTAATCAAGTTGTAGTTATGTCAACAGAAAGCCATTGAAGTCCAATGTTATTAGCTATATAGCAGCCACTCATATTTGATAATCTATTCAAAATTGAAGAAAGTTGGAAAAACTCTTAAAACATTAATTATATTTGAAACTAAACTATAGTACTTTTTTCAAACAAATTTTTTCTTGTTTGCTTATATTGTCAACTACGAAGAAAGAACCAAAGAAAGAAAACTCCATATTTGACACGTATTATTCGATAATTCTCTATCTTTTACATTGTATTTCGTAAGTTGGTGATTGAATCTCTTATTCTATTGCTGATTTAATCTCTACTGAACACGCCATAAATGATGAGTTGAGGATACACGCAACACACTAAAATCAATCTCATGAATTTGGTAATACAGGAAATTTCATTTGTATCATCATATTATCAAGTGAAAGGACGTGTTCGGTCGTGCTTAAAATCCAATTAAAATTGAAAATATAGTCGTTATTGGTCCCACTCGTCTAATAAAAATCAACAATAACGTCTAATTTTTCAGTTTTAATTTGATTTTAATCTCTACTGAACACGCCCTAAATGATGAGTTGAGGATACACGCTAAATTGCATCAGATTGGTTGACTAACCACCTTATAGATTACCAGTTGATCGAACTGTATTTATTCTAACTGTAGAGGTACAACTTTCCTAGTTTCTAGATATCAAGTGACTTGGATAGTTTCTAGATATCTATTTTTCTATTTCTAACAACTCTATTTGTCAATAGAATAATTGAATTTGAGGGTATATTTAAGTTGAGATATTTCTTAGCCTTCATCTAGTCTCAATCTTTTATTAAAAAAAATAAAATTGGAAAATATTTATAAATGATTTAAATTATATAGATAAGAATAAATGGTGGATTAGTGAGTACTATTTGTGAATACCTCGAAATACGTGCCAAACGCATAAGCTTAAGTTATAATTTAAAAATTGCATATTTGATAAAGACCTCTTAACCTAGCTAAGCACATACCTCTTATGTGACAATAGTATGGATATTTAGATGAAAGTAGTCAATTATTATATATGTTTATCTTCTTTAATAATTTTTATTAGTGTTATCAGTTATGTTGTCAAGGATATACTTGAGCAACGTGTCGTTGGAGGTAAGTTTACGTTCTAATTAGTTAATAACTTGTCTAACATTAATCTCGGAAGTAGAGGTGGGTGTGGTTCAATTCGATTCGACTTCAAAAAGAATCGAATCGAACCAAGAATTAGTGGGTATTTTAAAAATAATCGTCGGATTCAATTTAATTATGGAATCGAACCATTCGAATAAGTTCCATACCATGATTAAGTTTTTCAATCTTCTCATAATTTTAACAACTATTTTCAAAAAGAAACACATTAGTTCTCGACATTTAATTATGTTTACACAATCAACCCCCAATGACGAAAACAACATTCCTTTTTAGTTTCGACTTTCAGAACCATTCTGTCTTGGTTCTTCTCCACATTCTATTTGGGCACCCCAAGAATTCACCTATGATTTTTTTAATTTATATTTCAATATAGAAATATCTCATTTCTTAATCACAAGTTCGCACATCTGGCCCAAGCAAAGATCGGCAATCGTAGACTTCAAATGTCGTTCGACAAAAAAAAAAAAGTCGTGGAGATGGAAGACCCATCGGTGCATGAGGTTGACTACAATAGACCGAGAAATTAGAATTCATGTTTTTCTATTTCAATTTTCGATCATCGGAAGGTATCTCCATTGGCTAATCTAATTTCATATCTACCTAGTGCCTAACCCTACACTTTAGGTCATCGAGTATTTACGATTATGAGACGAATTTGTTTTAAGAATATTGTGTATTGTATAGGCCTCAATTTGCTAAAATGTTCTTCCGTTTAGTGATTTATAATTTTTTTCCATCGTCGTTAATTTCTTGTTTTGTTCTTTCTTTAAATATCATTCTACATTTTGTCTGCCGACAAATTGATTCCTTTTATCAGCAAACTACACAGTCAAAACAAATTTTGAATACTATAATTTCCCAAAAAAAAAAGTCACATTATCCTACTTCAATTATGGTTTTATTTCTATGATTTATTCCCATATATGTCAACTGAGAGACATTGAAGTCTAATGTTATTAGGTAGAGTAATGAGATATAGCAGCCATTTATGTTTGATTACCTCTTCAAAGTTGACAAAATTAGATATTAACTGTTCAGCATTATCAAGATTTGAAAGAGATGTTACATTGTTAATGTTATCTTTAGTTTTTATTTAAATTAAATATCTCTATCTATTTTTTTGTTTATAGTCACTCTACCAAGTGTTGAAGAACTGATTTTGAAACTTAGATTACAAGGATCGTAATGTACAGTCGTACTGAGAAGGGTTGTGAATAGAGATGGCCTTGATATATATATAAAGAAAGAAAGAAATAAGAAGAGAATTCAATATGTAGTATTTGTAGACGTGAAAAGAGAATATATTACTATTATCTTCAATTTTCTTTTATATGTATGCTGAAGTTAAGATTTTACGTCTTCCAAGTTTTTTTTAAACAACCATCGATGGAGATGAAAATAGGAGATACGAATACTATCTGTTAAGATTTGGGGGTCCATCTTAAAATATCAACCTTATTAAGATGAGTAATTCAAACTATTTATAAATTGATATATGTTTTCATCTTTATTCGATGTGAGATTCTATCTCTTAACATGCCATCGCAAGATAGTGGCTCGTTTGAACAGACAAATCTTAAAATCTGTGTGCTCATTTTTTTTGTGTCTTAATCAGATCAAATTATTAGTTGAAATTTAATGGGCTCTGATACCATATTAAGATTTGATGTTCTATCTTAAAAGATCAACCTTATTAAGAAGAGTAATCCAAACTCTTTATAAATTGGTTTATGTTCTTATCTTTATTCGATGTGAGATTCTATCTCTTAACACGATCTTTAGTCAATTTCTTCCCCCTTTTGTGGAAAAATAACTTACTTTTATTCATAATCAAACATCCACCTATGCATCTTTAAAGTTTTATTGTGTGTTAAGAGACAAATTTAATACATTTGATGTTCGATTGTTATTGATTTTTATGACAAAAGTCTTCGTTAAAGTACTCGTCGTCGATGAAATAATTTTTTATCAGAAAAAGAAGTAATTATAGAAATCAAAGATGAGTTGAATAAACACGCTAAACTTGACTAGGGGGTGGTTGCGAAATTGGACTACCATACTAATTGATGAAAACTGTATCGATTCTAACTGTAGAGATGTGGCTTTTTTCTAGTTTCTAGATGTCTACCGTCTAGTGACTTGGATAGTTTCTTATTCTATGTTCTAACAACTAACAATATATTTGTCAGAAAAGCAAGTAATTGAATTTGATTGTACGTTTTAAATTGAGAAACTTCTTAGCAAAAAGTATTTTTTTGAAGTGTTTATAAATAGTTAAATGAATGATTAATATATGAATATCATTTTTTATCAAAATATACTAAAAATCTGATTTTAATCATCGTCAATCAGGAGCTCGCTAAATATATGGATAAAAAGTAAATTAAATAGTCTCAATAATAATGTTTGTCGATGTCATCTCAAATTCTTTTTAGAAAAAAAACAAAAAAAAAGTTATTTTACACACATAAATGACCATGCTACGGACATATTGACCAACAATCCAAACTAGTGCGTAACATTGAATGTATATTTAGTTCGTGTTTGATTTGGCTAAAAATACGATTTTTAGTAGATTTTGATGAAAGTTTATGAAATGTGTAATTAAAAAATTGATAAAAATTATAGGTCTAATCGGGGACCGATTTAGTCCTTGTTTGGTACGGATTAAAATCTGATTTTAATCCAAGTCAAAGTCAAACAATCAATATTAACCCCATCTTTCATGGGTCTCACAACTTTTCAACCACACATTTCAAAAACTTCAATCAAAATTTTACTAAAAATCTAATTTTAATCTCCACCAAACACCCTCTTAGTGTGGGGACAATGGGGTCAGCTCCTCCTACATTAAATTTCAAATTTTGCTCAGAATTTTTTCAAAATTTTTAGAAAAATCCTTATAGTTTTTAAATTTTACCCCCACAATTAAGCACCTGTCTGGTGCAGCTTCTTTTCAAATTAAAATCCAAAATATTTCCGTTGGGAATGGTCAGTGGGTCTCACTCGTGAAAGAATGGATCAAAAATGTCATGCTGCAACTGGCAAAAAATCAATTTCTTCCTCAGAAAAATGGTGCCCAGACAGGGCCTAAAATTGTGGTGGAGACAAAGACAAGGTCTCATAAAATATACGGTTGAAAATGAATTTCAAGAAAAAAAAAAATGAGTTTAAAAAAATTGAGACGATTTTTTATTATTTCTTTGGAGTAGTTAGTTTGGAGTGAATTCATAGTGTGAAACATGAAAATGTTTATAAAGTAACGTACGCGTCAAGTACATGAAATCTTACTAGTAGTATAGCCAGGAAGCAACATAGGAACTCGTCCTATTCACACGCCAACTCGCCTAACTCAGGGTTACTTACTTGACAAGTAAATGAGACATGAGTAATACTGCTTTTTTCAACGCGGGCTCCGAGTCGCACTCGTCACCAACCTTACAAGAACGCAAGAAATATTCTAGAAAGATGGAACTTTTATTGTATTTGACACGCTTGGCTCGCCACGCACGACCCGCTCACTCAGTAATTCGTTTCCTTACGTCATTGGTGACGGATACACGCTATCTATGTGATCCTTTTTCCAGCGAGAAATTAGTACATTTCGTCGTTGCGAAAGGTCAACTAAATAAAGTCAAAGTGTGCAACTACTAAAGCACATCTTCTCACCTGTAAACAATTACCTATATATACACATATCACCTTTTAGGCTATTTCTCATTACATTCTTATACATATAAATCCTATACATAGATTATACATTCAAGAATTCATGGCGTTCGATTTACAAATGACGATGAAGAGGAGTAGAGACGAAGAAGCTAATCAGAACATGAAAAGCATGGCGATTTCCTTAATGCTACTCTCTAATGGAGGCGGCGGTGCATTTGATTCAACCGTTGACAGCTCTGCTGCTCGTGTTTTCGAGTGCAAGACATGTAACAGGCAGTTTCCATCTTTCCAGGCGCTGGGTGGCCACCGGGCCAGCCACAAGAAGCCGAGATTGATGGGAGAACAACATTCCGGCGATTTACGGTCATCTCCGGCGAAGCCCAAAACGCATGAGTGCCCTGTTTGTGGGATGGAATTCGCCATTGGACAGGCTCTTGGAGGGCACATGAGGCGACACAGAACGGCGGCGGCCGTCAATGAAAACAACCAACAGCCGCCGCTGCCGACTTTGTCATTGTCTCCACCGCATCCTCATCCTATTGTGAAGAGATCAAATAGCAGGAGAGTTTTGTGTTTGGATTTGAATTTGACTCCGTCGGAGAATAAATTTCTTTTGTTTGGCAAAATGGTTCCTGCTGTTCATTGTCTTTTCTGATTTTGAATCATGCAGGATATATATGTGTATATATGTATCCAATCTTGATCTCCAGCCATTCGTTCTTCCTTTTTTTTCTTTTTGCAGAATTTTGTTATTAGTTGATTATTTGTGGATTTATTCATTCGTTTTATAATTAATAAGAACTGGTTATATTGTAAATTAATGGTTACTTTATAGTTGAGAAGATGATTTAAGGGCTATGTTTCATATATTGGACCCGATGGATAAAGTTCATTCACGTACTCTTTTTCTATTCCTTTACCGACATATCGGTATAGCCATTGTTTGGTGTAAATTATATTTTTAGTAAATTTTGATAATATTTGATGAAATGTGTAGTCGAAAAATTGTGGATCTCATGAAATGTTTGGTTAAAATTAATTTTGTATATCTCTTCTTCTTTCTTCTTGATCCTCTAGCAATACATATGCAATAAAAGATGAGAGTTTTCGAGTCTCTCTTTAACATTAAGGGTCCGTTTGATTGCAAATGTGAAAAATTGGTGAAAATAAAATGTTTTTAAAATTAAAAAAAATGCCTAAGAACCTGGAAAATCAATTCCAACAAAAACAACAAGAAAAGGTTTTCCTCCAAAAGATGGAAAATGTGGAAAGGTGAAAAAAAAATTTCAGAAGAAAATTTTACTATCAAACAGGTGCAAAAGTTGAAAAATCCATGGAAAATCATGGCTGTCAAAGGGGGCTTAAGTTAATATGCGAAGAGAGGAAAAGGAAAAAATGGGGTGAGAGTCACTTTAGTTTCTTCTCTATATGCATTTCTTGTTTCTTGCTCCTTCGATGATACCTATAACAAAAGGCATGGGAGGTTCGTCGTGATTGTAATTTGATGCATGTATTGAGAAAGAAACTCTGGGAACAATAGAACGCTTTCAATCAGCTCGGCTAGCCATCTCTAAATAAGGTTTTAAAAGTTACATTTATTTATTATCCATAATCTTATCGATTGTTAGTCAGTTTGAGTAGAGTTGTACTTATTTTACACGATTTCTTGTGTAACATACACTCACAAGGTTAGAAAATACATTTGCAACGAGAAAAGTGTAAATTATTTGATTTAGATGCAAGGCAACGGCGGAAAAAAATTATCGAAGTAACCAACTAAAGAAATAGAACCTAGTCTAACTTCTTCTAATTAGCTACACCTAATTTTACTTCCCATAATTAAAAAAAAAAAAAAAAATTCATGGCAATTTTGTTTCTCATTTCTCTTCCAAAAACTTATATAGTTATATACAATTCTGCAGTTTGCTTGCCCCACAAGTCCTCCGGATCAACACTTCCATTTTCTAATATGACCAGAAGAATTTTTTTATTTATATAAGTTACGCCTCAAATAACGAGTCTCCAGGTCAAACCAAGACCTGCATTCCGCATCACCCGACAAGCCACACATCATAGCCGAGGCTCCGATGTGCCGAGGTGAATACCATACACATACAGGCCGAGGCACCGAAGCGATTTGGGTCGGCACAAGCGACAATAAAGTGACACAGTTGGGAGAAATGCCTGCTAATAGGAGTCACAGTGCCACTGCAAAATATGCTAGGAAGCATTAAATATTCACCCACCTATGGAGTGATTGGTTGACATCTAGGAACAGACGCTTCGCTCGGCAGATGAGGCCACTTGCCTCACATCTAACGGCCCTTTCTTCACCTTTTCCTCTATAAATACCTATGTTTTGTGCTTTTTTGAAGGTAATGCAACTCCAACCATATATCTTCTATTATTTCCTCCCCATACTATAGTGAATATCCATATTCTGACGATTCCAGCTATCGGAATTCTCAATCTTCGTTATCACTTTACTGACTTGATAGTCGGAGTGCTCGCGACCACTTTCACAACCACTGGCATTGGCCATGAGTGGCTAACAGTGTATTACAAGTGTACAGGGAAGAGCCTAAGTGGAATTGCTTTCGGTTGGCCACTTGCTGGGTCCATTTTTCGGGGTCAACAATATATTTCACTCAGCTCGAAGAAAGATTTCCAGTGGGCGTCGAAAGTTAATGTTATTTAGAAAATGAAAAAATTTCATGCAATACAAGAATTATTTCGATCATAACATTTTATGCCCCTATTTAGTGGCCATTTTTTAAAAAAGAAAACATCGTTTTGGATAGTGATTTTTAAAGAATATATAGTCAGAGGAAAATTTTGGATTTAAGTATAGAATATTTTATTGTGTGAATATGTGATTTAAAATTAGTATGTAAAAAGAATTTTGAAAAAATGAAAAACAAACTGTCACTATTATATGGAAGTTCAGAGCTGGCCTGGACTTAGCATAGGCTGCTCTCTATGGCTCCTGACACGTGAGGGCCCCTAACAGAATAAGGCTTTATTCAATGACTATTATGTATAACTGTATAACTTAAGAGGTGGCCTGGACCTAGCATGGGCTGCTCTCCAAGGCTCCAGACATGTGAGGGCTCCTAACAGAATAAGGCTTCATTCAAACACAATCATGCTATGCTACAGCACACTAACAATAGGGGACATTTTTTATTCACACGAGTCTCATGCGCAAGTGAGTGTAAGTCAATTAAGGTGTCAAATATTTTCTGTCAAAAGAGCTTTATTCAAACATTAATTTTCAAAGTAATTTTTTAAGACTCATAAAATATGATATTCCCTCTCGTCCCACGAAAATAGACTTATTTTCATTTTCATAGATTAATAGTTAAAAATAATATTTTTTTAATATACCCCTATATTATATAATGATTAAAATATATAAAATGAATATTTGTTAATCACAAATGACATAATGGAAAATTAAAAAATTAAATATATTCTCAATAAGAAACGTGACTTATGATATGAGACAATCGAAAAAGAAAAGCAAAAATATACACACTCTTTTAAGGGTGGCTGCTTTTAGGCAAATCTCATGTCTGTCTCTGCACCCCTACCTCCTTCATCACTGAGCTATCAGAGTACAAAATCTTTTTTCAATCAAAACACAATTAACTGCTGTCTATCAAAAGTTACAAATTAGCATACCCCCAACCACTATTAATGCAACTTTGAATATTTTTATTTATTAAAATATTTTATTTTTTAATCATTACATGTAATTTTTTTTTCAACTATTTTTTAAAATGCACATATAAACTTTGGTACAAGATCTCCAAAATCAAATAGCCATTAATTACAACTTACAAGGGTTGTATTATTATGAAGTTTGTCTACTAGCTTTTCAAGAACGACAATAAAACAATTTATTGCTTAAAAAAATAAAAAATAAAAAAAAATTGTGAATTCTTTTTTCCGATTTCTTGATCACTCAAATACAGTAAACCAGAAACTAACAGGAAGAAAAATAACTTATCAGGTAAATGATCATGGGCTTTGTCATAAACTGTCAAGTTAATAAAATATGCAAAACCAAAAGGGCAATCATAAAGGAAAGTTTCACTGAATGTGGATATGGATATGGATATGGATATGGATAGTGATATTGAAATTGAAGTTATCAATGAAACTCTTTCAACAACAAATTTAGAAAAAAGTGCTACATCTCTTCCTCCATTTCCACAATCATGTTTAAAGAAGAGGAAACATATGAAATCTTCGAATATATGTGAACACTTCACTATTATAGGAGATCCAAAAGATGAAGATGTTAGGTGTACGTACAACTATTGTGGGCAGGATTATGCTTGTGGGGCTAGGAAGTGTGGAACTAGTACCTTAAGGAATCATTTGGTTCTTCATTGTAAAAAGTATCCCGGAATGATAGAAGATAAAATGAAAAAAAGTCCAACTGAGGGTGATGGGAACAATCTTATAGCTGTTGGCTTCAATAAAGAAGAATGTAGACTTACATGTGCTAAGATGATAATAATTGATGAGCTACCTTTTAGCTTTGTCGAAAGTCAAGGGTTTAGACAATTTTGTCAAGTAGCATGTCCGAATTTTGATCCTCCTTCTCGTAGGACTATTGTTCGAGCTATTTATCAATTGTATTTATATAAAACATTGCAATTGAGAAAGATCCTCCAACGTCAAAGAGTTTCTCTTACTATTGATACTTGGAGTTCTATTCAAACAGTATTAGAAAAAAGTGCTACATCTCTTCTTCCACTTCCTTTAGAGAAGAGGAAACATAGGAAATCTTCAAATGTATGGGAACACTTCACTATTATAGGAGATTCAAAAGATAAAGATGTTAGGTTTACGTGCAACTATTGTGGGTAGGATTATACTCGTGGGGCTAGGAAGTGTGAAACTAGTACCTTAAGGAATCATTTGGTTTTTCATTGTAAAAAGTATCCGGGAATGATAGAAGATAAAATGCAAAAAAGCCCAATTGAGGGTAATGGGGACAATCTTATAGTTGTTGGCTTCAATAAAGAAGAATATAGACTTGCATATGCTAAGATGATAATAATTGTTGAGCTACCTTTTAGCTTTGTCGAAGGTCAGGGGTTTCGACAATTTGTCAAGTAGCATGTCCGAATTTTGATCATCCTTCTCGTAGAATTATTGTTAGAGATATTTATCAATTGTATTTGGATCAAAAATTGCAATTGAGAAAGATCCTCCAACGTCAAAAAGTTTCTCTTACTACTGATACTTGGAGTTCTATTCAAAACGTTAATTATATGTCTCTTACTGTACACTTTGTTGATTCTGATTGGAAGCTTCATAAACGGATTTTGAACATTTGTGTGATTGCTAATCATAAATGTGAAACCATTGGTAAAGCTATTGAGAATTGTTAGCGTTTATGGGATATTGAGAAAGTGTTTACAATCACGGTTGACAATGCATCTGCAAATGAAACAGCAATTTCGTATCTCAAGAGGAAAATGATTGGTAGGAATAGGGATGAGTGTGTCTTGGATGGAAAATATTTGCACATGAGGTGTTGTGCACATATTGTTAACTTGATTATATGTGAGGGATTGAAGGAAGCACATGCATCGATTATTAGTATTCACAACGCAGTAAAATATATTAAATCTTCTCCTGTTAGAGAACAAAAGTTTAAGGAGTGTGCGAGTCAAAAAAATGAATTGTAAATCACTTGTGTTTTTGGATGTACCAACTAGGTAGAATTCAACATATTTGATGTTAGAAACCGCTTCAAAATTTCAAAAATCATTTTAAAGGTTAGAAGAGGATGATGTGCAATATTTTAATTATTTTCAGGAGCATGATGGTGGTAAAAGAAAGGATGGACCTCCTAGAACTTCTGACTGAGAAAATGCTTCTATTTTTGTGAAGTTCCTCCACAGCTTTTATGAAGTAATTTTGAAGTTTAGTACTTCATTGCATGTGAACTCTAATATTTATCTTCATGAAATATGTTCACTTATAAGCGAATTGGAAGAATGAAGTAAAAGTGATGATTATCTTCTGAGTGATATGGCCATTAACATGGGAAAAAAATTGACAAGTATTGGGGAAAAATGGAAAATGTTAACCAGTTGTTGTTGATTGCTATTGTACTTGACCCAAGATATAAATTGGAGTATGTTGATTTTTGTTTTGGTGATATTTATGAGGATAAGGAAATTGCTCGTAATATGACAAATATTTTGAAAGACAATATGATGTCTATTTACGATTGGTATGTGAGATGTGAACCAAGTTCTAAAAGCAATCAAGTATCTAGTGATATGAATTCTTCAAGTGTGGTTTCTTCTACTAAAGAAAGTCTTACTTCAACTGTCTCTCTTAATCGTGTTTCTATGTTTAAGAGAAAAAAGGCAGCAAAAAATTTGGTTGAACTTAAAAATTATGTTTATAGATACTTGTTGGACGCTTGTGAAGATATAGAGGAGTGATTTTGATGTTCTTAACAGGTGGTAGCTTAATGGAAATAAATATAGTACTTTGTTCAAACTCGCAAGAGCCGTTATGGCAATTCAAGTCCACAATGACTTCAAAAGGTGCTTTTAGTACTGAAAGAAGAATCCTTAATCCATTGCGTTGTTTTTTAACACATAGGATGGTGGAGGTTTTGGTGTGTACCCAAAACTGGTTTAAAGAGTTTTCAATAATGGAGAAATTTTATATGAAAGATGTTGAGGTATATAAAAAATTGGACGAATGTAATATAATTATAGTTATTCCATGAATTATGTTAAATAAATGCCTTTTATATAATTTATTGTTAATTTAATCTTTTTTTTTTTTTTTTTT